TTGGGAGGAAAACAGAATGAAAGAGATGGCATGGGGGAGAGAGGAAAGACAGGAGGGATTGTATTCATTTCTCTTTGGGGACATTGAAAAAGAACCCTTGTTTCCAAAGCCAAAGCAGTATTTTCCATGCAAGAGGCAATGAAGCCAAGTACTAATCCAGCTTTGTAGAATGCGTTGTGCTGCAAGATGGCCTGTTTTCCTTCTACTAAAGAAAAACAGCCAGTATTGGGACCAATAATAATAAGGCAGCTAACAGTTACCGTACACCACCCAAAGACCAGGCGCTGTGCTGAGTGATTTACATATATTATCTAATTTAATTCTCACTACTTCGTGAGCAAACAGTGTTAACATACCCATTTTACAGGTGAGAAAGTTGAAGTTCAGAGATGTTCTTCCTTCCAAGATCGTACAGCTGGTGAATTAAGCAGGAGACTAAAGATTCACATTCAGACCTGTCTCTCTCTCTCTCTCTTTTTTTAATCCTCACCAGAGGACATTTTTCCATTTTTGTTCCAACAGAGTGGGAGGGAGGGAGAGAGAAACAATGATGTGAAAGGGACACATCCAGTGGCTGCCTCCCGCATAACCCCAACTGTGGCCGGGTACAAACTGCAACTAAGGTATACGCCCCTAGCAGGAACTGAACCCAGGTCTCTCTGGACCGTGGGCCGACGCTCCAACTGCTGAGCCAAATCGGCCAGGGCTCTCTTTTTTTTTAAATTTTTTTTTCCTTTATTAATTTTACAGAGAGAGGAAGTGAGAGGGAGAGACAGAAACATCGATGAGAGAGAACATCAATTGGCTGCCTCCAGCATGCCCCCCCACCGGGAAATCAAGCCCACAACCTGGGCATGTGTCCTGACTGGAATTGAACTGGCGCCCTCTTGGTTCAGGAGTCGACGCTCAACCACTGAGCCACACCAGCTGGACCCTGTCTCTCTCTTGCGTCTTTCTCACCCTAATAACCTGGAGGCAACACGGAATTCCATGGCCACACATTCTTGGGGCTCCTCAACAATCTTAGGGACTTGATGGAAAAAGCAGCACAACCCAGCAGACATCAGGAGCATCCCAAGTAGTGGGTGCAGGTTACCTGATGTCTGAACAAAAGACAGCTCATCTTTGGGCAACTCTCAGAATTGACCAGAATTAGACTGATGGACCAGCACTTTCCAAACCCCAGCCTCTCCTGACCGTCCCTGACCCCAGACTGCTTTGCTAATCCCCACCACCTCTCAGCTTCTTTCCCAGAGGCTGAATTCCACTCGGAAGGGCCAGGTGCTCCAGCATCCAGGACACCAGAGAATCCTGTATTGGCTTAACAATCGTCATATGGTCACATTTGCCCTGGGCAGGATGAAAGAAGGAAGGAAATCACTCTTTTGCATGTCTGGTACTGTCACTGAAATTGTCCTGTGGGGAGAAAAACCCATGATGTCACCATGAGACACTGCCTTTACCCCTCACCAGGACTTGGGTGACATTTCCAGAGAAAGATGAAAAGTCCCTGACATTTCTGGAAACCAACAACGAGGAGGCCTGGAGACGAGTCAGAGCAAACCTCCCTGCGGAGGAGTCCCAGGAATTTGATACCATAACTACTGCTCCTTATTCCCATGGATCTACTCATCTTGGGATTCAGGGTACATACCGGCTGCCCCTTGGGCCAAAATCCTTTTGTGAGCTCTAGCCTTCAGAGGTTAAGATCTTTTCCTCCAGCTGGAGTTTGCATTCTGCCCTTGAAACTCATAAACTCATCTCTCAGGACCTGTGGGACCAAGAGCATTCCATTCTAAGCCCGCCCACTCAGAACACTGCCATGATAAGGAAAATAACTTGCCTTGCTCTAGCCCCAAGGACAGCCATGAAAAGGTGGGGGGTTAGGCACTGGAGGAGGTTGGACTGAACAACTTGATGGATCTTTCATGGATGACATTTTACCATGCAAATTACTCTCTGCACACTGTGCAACTAACATATCTTTTGCTGGGTGCATTGCATGGATGCCTCTTGTCTCCAGGGCAACCTCCATGGGTGGGGGGTGGCAAGCGATGGATGGGCTAAGCCTATTTCCTTGACAACTTACGTCCTTGAAGTGGATGAACAGCCCACGGGTGCATAAACTCAGCCCTAACGCTAGATAGAGTCTGTGAGAGTGGGGATGAAAGGGAATTCAGTGGGGGGAAATTTGTGGGTCAAGGCTCCAGAGCTTTTTCTGAAAATAACCCTGAGTCAATGGTGCCCCTAGCCTTCTAGTTGCCCTACATATCCTAGCCACAGCACAACCAATCTTAGCTGGTCTCCGTCCCTCGTTTCTTCTCTCACAAGATATCCATCACGTAAGAGTCATTTGTTTGGAATGTTTGTAAGTCACAATTTTGAAACTTGAAACCACAATATCCACCATTGCCTGCTCTTTTCCTTTTTTTTTTTTTTTTTTAGGGATGCAATGAAGCACAGGTAGGGAGAGAATCAGGATTAAGAGAATGTAGCTGATGAAAAGTGGCTAAAACAGAAGACTATGCAAGGAGGTACAAGGATGGGGTTTGACAACATCACCCACAAAGAGAAAACCAGATTCCTTCAGTTCACTGTGTTGACTTCTCTGGGGAAGCTGGAGGAGTTTGGGGCGGAAGGAGGTGTCCTCTGGCCAAGGTCTTTCAGAACAAAGAGTCTGTCTTCACCACAGAGAGCAGCCTGGAAAGGGCAGAGATAGCAAACCTGAAGAGGAGGCTTTGTCCTTGTAGCTCCTGGTGGCATGCCAGAGTCTGTGGGGTTGCGTGGCTAGAAGGAGTGGAGCCTGTGGGCCCTGTGGAGCCCCAGACATGTAAGATAATATTCTTTTTTTTAAAATCCTCATCCGAGGACATTTTTTCATTTTTTGTTCAGATAGAGTGGGAGGGAGAGAGAGGAATAGAGAGAGAGAGAAACATGACATGAAAGGTACACATCGGGTGGCTGCCACCGGCAGGACCCCAACCAGGGGTGGGGACAAACTGCAACCGAGATGTGTGCCCTTAGTGGGAACCAAACCGGGGTCTCTCTGGATCGCAGGCCAAGGGTCAACCGCTGAGCCAAATCAGCCAGGGCAATATTCTAAGTGCTCACTCCTCCCTGAGTTCTCTCTGACACTGCAGCTATTAGGCTAGATCCCAATGCCCCCGAAGGTAAGTAGGTGGGCTCTGAAGTCCAACAGTACTGCCCCTGGAGGGAGAGGGAAGAGCTCCACAGAAGCTCTGGGGCAATAAAGGTTTTGGCTGGCAGGGTAGAATTGTGTTCATGAATTAATGGCTGGACATCTTGCAATTTAGTCATCTGGAGATAAGAAGGAAGAAGATCAAAATTAAACCAGTGCAGCCCTGGCCGGTTTGGCTCAGCGGTTAGAGCGTCGGCCTGCGGTCCTGAGAGACCCGGGTTCGGTTCCCGCTAAGGGCGCATGCCTCGGTTGCAGTTTGTCCCCGGCCCTGGTTGGTCGTGCGGGTGGCAGCCACTCGATGTGTCCCTTCACGTCGATGTTTCTCTCTCTCTCTCTCTGTTCCTCTATCTCCCTCCCGCTCTACCTGAACAAAAAAAATGGAAAAATGTCCTCGGGTGAGGATTAAAAAAAAAAAAAAAAATTAAACCAGTGCAAAACAAAAACAGTTGTGAAAAGGAGATGCAGACTTGAGGAAATGAAGAATGTGAGCTTCTAGGAGACTTTAAGAGGCTTTATGACTCCCAAAGACCTCTGCCTCTCTCACCATTTTTTGACTCTGCATTCTCCCCTCAGCCACAACCTCTAAGAGGTATCCAAGGTCTACAAGACCAGGGACCCCAAGATTTCAAAGAAAGTCTTGGAACCTGATGGCCCCATTATCAACCTAGCATTTGAAGCTGGCACTACGTCAAATAAGAAGTGTTGCAGAAAGAGGTCTTATTTCTTCCTTCCTCTTCCCCTCTGGAAATAAAAGTAGTTTGTATTTCTTCTGACCCCGTTCCTTGATGATCTCAGAAATGGAGCTGAAAGAGCTTCTTGGAGTACCTCATCCAAGTCTCGACCCAGGATATCAATTGCCTGCGCCTTTTGTCCTGGCTACTGCCGCTATGGTGACTGCGGTTAAAACCAGTTACTGGGGCTAGGGTGTCTTCCAGGTGGTTCAGAGGTCAGCGACTGGAGTCCCACAGGGCAGGTGATGAGCCCCTGGGACCAGAGGAGGGGGTTGGGGGTCGACTCCCGGGCTTCCTCTCCTGCCAGCAGGCGCTAGGAAGGAGGGTGGCTGAGAGTCACAGGTGCGTCGACAGACCCACTCGCACTGGCCAGAGGGGTACAGGGCCTGGAGGGGGACCCGCATGGCCACAAACGGAGCTGAGGGTACAGCGCTCTCAACGTGAGCTCGTTGTGCTCTCTAAGAAACTTCTAGGACCACAGAAGTGCGACTGGGCATAGAAGATCACGGAGGGAGCAGGAAACAGGGGCCTTGCAGGGGCTAGGAAGGGAACTGGTTTCTTCCATCTCGGGCGCGAAATCAAGACTGTTCCCGGGCCAGATCTCTCCACCCCACCCCCACTTCCTTTCTCGTCCTTAACTCGGCCCCAAGGTCCGTGGCCCGCGGAGGACACCGAGAAGCAGAAAGGCGGCAGATAGAAGAGCCCCTGGGACCCGCACGGGCGACACAATCGGCTCACAGCCCGGTTCGGCGGGTGCCCGGCGTCTCCCCTCGCGCGCCTCTCTGCGCACAGCGGTGGCGCCGCAGGACTCTCCCGCTCTCCCTCCGGGAGCGGACAAATGCGCCGACTCAGGCAGACAGCGGGGAGGGCAGAAGTTGAAAATACCTGGGCAGAAAGACCTGCCTATCCCCAAAGGAGGGCAGCTGCAGGCCAAGGGGACGGGAGCGCCTGGGGGAAGGCGGAAGGGGAGCGGAGGGGGCTCCGCACCAGACAGCCGACCCGCGACTCCGCGCGCTCCGGCGCGGCCTCACCACCGTGCCCGGGGCGCAGGGAGTGTCGGCGGGACTTACCCCAGAACAGTGTGAGCGGCTTGGCTTTGGGGATGAGCACCAGGGAGTACACAGCAGCCAAGTGGAGCAGGCTCATCAGGACAACGTTCCTCCAAACGATGTTCTGCCGCTGCTCGCGTGCGCCCGGCCTCTTCTGGCCGCCGCCGTCCTCCGAGTCCTCGACCCCCGCACGGCTTTCCTCCGTGGCGTTGCAGAAGGGGACCGTCCCCGGGTCGGCGGCCCGGCCTGGCATGGCTGGGAAGAGGTGGGCGCCGGCGGCTAAGCGGCGGCCGCAGGAAGGCAGCGCTCTGCGGGCGCGGATCTCTCTGGTGGGGGCGGGGGCTTCTGCCTTTTAGGGGGGATCTCCACACCTCCCGTCCCCGCCTTCGCTGCCCCTCTCTGGTTTCTGCAGGCGTTCAGCGTGGCCTAACGATGCAAACCTGGGAGCCCCGCATCTGTTGCTGACGTATCACTCACGCCGCTGCCGGGGCTGAACTGAGCTGTGAGCGGAGGGGGCGAGCGCGAGGGGCGGGAGGGGGCGCGGAGACGCTGCGAGGGGAAGCGAGCGGGGAGGCGAAGGGGTAGGCAGCGCTCGCGGGGAGCCAGGAGGAAAGACCTGCATAGCTACAGCCAATCACGGTCGACTGTGGGGCTCTTAAAGAGAAAGGCGCCCCCTTGGCCCCGCTGCCCTGGTCTCCGCGGCCGGACCCGGGAGCCCGCTGGGCAGCGGGGGGCGGCGGTTGGCAGCCTGGGCCCGGGTGTGGGTGGGATGTGGCTCTCGGGACAGGGAGCAAAAAAGACAGGCTCACAGCACTTCTGTTGTGTTTTTTCCAGTTCCAAAAAATACCTTTCCGTTTTTTAAAGCTTTTTTTTTTTTTTTTTTAACTTTTGAAGCCACAGGCCACCATGTTGAAGAATTTAAAATACGTGCTGGGAGTCTTAACACAAGTTAAGGCCAGATCCAAGGTGAGAATCAAGCCCTGTGTCTGCCAGTTCGTATGGCTCCTTGGGCCTGTGGAGGAGTGGAGGCTGCTGCAGCCGGACACAGAGGTGCTCGGTTAGTGCCTATTAGATGATTCATAAGTGATTTGTGGGCTGTAGGAGCCAACAGTGCCTCGCGCAGCCCATCAGCTGCTCAGCTGTGTTTATGGCAGATTTCGGCGAGCCGCCGCTCCTGGGGATTGTCTCCTTAGCCCTCATCTGATGGAACAGTACCTTAAACTCAGCTCCACTGGGAATAGGGCTTTAGGGAAAAAAAAAAATCACCCAGAATGTCCCAAGGAAAATTAACCTGTGAAAAAGTATCTGCTCATTCCTCTCCTCCTAACGCAGATCGTTTAGAACTGTCCAGAGGGAGCCCTGATTGCACAGAAATGCAGAGAAGGGTGCGCTGGACGTGTCCCAAGCAGGTGTGACTGCGCCTGCAGGTGGGTAGCGGTAGAAAAAGGGCTCAGGACTGGAAGCCAGGGTCTCTTGAGTTCTAGTTCTAAATCGCCCTAACTCGCCATTTCGGTACAGGAGAAACAGAACTAATCTTTATTCTTCCTTCCAGCTTGCAAATTCTGTAAATGTGAGCTTAAAGGGGTGCCATTATGTTGACAAATAAATCTGGGGGTTTTCGTTTGTTTTTGGATTCACCCATTGCTGGAAATCCTCTCTAAGATTCCAGAAGAGGGGTGAAAATTACAAAGAACTGCTCCCTCTGTTCCCCAGTCCCACTAGACCCACTACTCCCTGTGGCTCTCTAGTTGGGGACTATTCTTTTTTCTGGAGTGGACTAGTTGCTTGGCCAAAAGTCTCTCTATAGTTATTGTAATGATTCACTCCACCCTCGTTAACCATTCAATCATTTGTTTGGCTTTATTGCTAGGTGCCAAGACTAGTGGACACGGGGAATACAAGGATGAATTGGCATGGTCTTTGCTCTTGGAGCTTCCCATCTAGGAGGGAAGACAGATCAACAGATCAAACAAATGTAACTTATTGCCTATGAACTTGGAAGGGCAGGAAGGTCCAGTCTATTATCAGAAAAAAAAAAAAAAAAAAAAAAAAAGCCTATTAGGAATCAACAATACATACAGCCCTGGCCAGTGTGGCTCAGTTGGCTGTCCCATGTACTGAAGGGCTGCTGGTTCGATTCCCAGTCAGGGCACATACCTGGGTTGTAGGCTTGATCCCCAGAGGGGGACTTGTAGGAGGCAGCTGATGGTCTGCTCTCACATTGATGTTTCTCTCTCTCCACCTCCCTCCCTCTCTAAAAAGTAAATAAAAATAGTTTTTTTTTTTTTAAAGCATACAAAGAGTCCAGGGGAAGCAGCAAAATAGTTTTTTTTATTTGGCTCCTGGGTACTTTATCTATTAGATAAGCTACTGTGTCTTGAATCTATCTTGAATGAACATCCTCCTCTCTTCCCTCCAATGGGTCACATTGGATTGGGCCAATCAGTTCAGCTGGTTGGACTAAGGGCTGAGATGGGGATGTTTGTATGGGGATGGGGCAGAGGTAAGTGCTGTTTAGTTTTCAGATCGTGCCTACAAAAGGATGATCGAAGGAAAATGGCCCTTCAGATCTCTCCTCAGAGAGAAGCCTCTACAGATATAAGATATACTGTTGCCAGTAATGACCATTCCCTTTAGCATAGGATGCCATCAGGGCTACTGTCTCTTTTTCCATCTAAGGTTTTTGCCAAGGACCTTAGTATATTTTCTTAGCTTCTGGTCAAGACCCCAGAAGTGGATGAGTGTTCATCTCACCCCTTAATGGGACAGTAGCCCTTATGCTGTCAGATAATTACCCAAAATGTGATAAGACCCCCAACAGTGGTATTTTAAAAATAAAGTGGAGGCACAAAGGAGGGAGTTGTTAATTCACATTAGGGTGGGGGGTGGGGTGACATCTGAGTAAGGATTTTTTTTGAAACTTGATTCAGTTTTTTAATTGTGGTAACATACACATAAAATTTACCATCCTTCCCATTTTTAAGTGTCCAGTTCAGTAGAGTCAAATATATTCACATTGTGTGGAACCAATCTCCAGAACTTTTCATCTTGCAAAACTGAAACTCGACACACATTAAACAATTCCTCCTTGCTCCCTCTCCCTAGCTGCTGGCAACCACCGGTATACTTTGTTTCTGTGAGTTTGACTAATGGAGATCCCTCAAAAGTGAAACCATAGAGTATTTGTCTGTTTCCGTGACTGGCTTATTTCACTTAGCATAATGTCTTCAAGGTTCATCCATGTTGTAGTGTATGTTAGAATTCCTTCCTTTTCAAGGCCAAATAATATTCTGTTGTATGTATATACCACATTTTGCTTATTCGTTCATCTAACAATGGACACTTGGGTTGCTACCACCTTTTGGCTACTGTGAGTAATGCTGCAGTGAACATGGGTGTACAACTATCTTTTTGAGACTCTGCTTTCAAATCTTTGGGCTATATACATATCCAGAAGTGGAGAAGTGGTACTACTACTGGAGTTTACAGTAATTTTTTTTTAATCCTCACCCAAAAATATTTTTACATTTATCTTCAGATAGAGCTAGAGGGAGGGAGAGATAGAAACATCGATGTGAGAGAGACCCAATGATTAGTTGCCACCCACACAACCCTAACCAGGGCTGGGACAAATTGCAACCGAGGTAGAATCAAACCTGGGACTCTTTGGTCTACGGGCGATGCTCTTGCCACTGAGCCATACCAGCCAGGGCTGTGGTAATTCTTTTGTAATTTTTAAAGATTTCCATACTGTTGCCTATAGCAGCTGCACCACCAACAGTGCACAAGTGTTCCAACTTCTCCATATCCTCACTAACACTTATTTTCTGGATTTTTTAAAAAAGATAATAGCCATTCTAATCTACATGAGATAATATCTTATTGTGGTTTTGATTTGCATTTTCCTAATGATTTAGTGATGTTGAGCATGTTTTCATATGCTTTTGGTCATTTGCATGTCATCTTTGGAAAATGTCTATTCTAGTCCTTTGCCCATTTCTTAATGTATGTGTTTGTATTGTTGTTGAATTACTGGAGTTCTTTATATACTTTGGATACTAGTCCCTTATTTGGTAAGTGATTTGCAAATATTTTCTCCAATTCCATATGCTGCCTTTTCACTGTTGATTGTGTCTTGACACATAACTTTTAATTTTGATATAGTCCAATTTATCTATTTTTACTTTTGTTACCTGTACTTTTGGTGTTTTATTCAAGAAATCATTGCCAAATCCAATGTCATAAAGCTTTTTCCCTTATGTTTTCTTCTAAAAGTTAGTTTTATATTTTTAGCAGTTACATTTAGGTCTTTATAATAAGTTTGAAATTAAAAAGTATATGACCTCCATTTTGAGTTTTTATATATGGTGTAAGGTAAGGGTCAAACTTCATTCTCTTGCATGCAGATATCTAATTTTCCAAACACCATTTGTTGGTAAAACTCTCCTTTCCCCATTGAATGGTCAATCTTTATATTAGTATCACACTGAGTACTGTAATTTTTTTTTTAATCTTCACAGGAGGACATTTTTCCATTTTTGTTCAGATAGAGTGAGAGGGAGAGAGACGGGGAGAGAGAGAAAAAAACATCAATGTGAGAGGAACATATTGACTGGGTTGCCTCCCTCACGACCCCAACCAGGGCCAGGGAAGAACCACAACCAAGGTAAGTGCCCTTGACCGGAATCAAATCTGCTACTCACTGTTCCGCGGGCCAGTGGTCTAATCGCTGAGCTAAACCAGCCAGGGTGAGTACCGTAACTTTTTTAAAAAATTGATTTTTAGAGAGAGAGATTGATTTGTTGTTCCACTTATCCATGCATTTATTGGTTGACTCTTGTATGTACCCTGACTGGGGATCAAACCCGAAACCTTGGCGTATCGGGACAATGCTCTAACCAACCAAGCTACCTAGCCAGAATGAGTACTGTAGCTTTATAATAAGTTTTGAAATTAAAAAGTATATGACCTCCAACTTTGTTTTCCTTTTTCAAAGTTGTTTTGGCCATTTGGACCCATTGAGATTCCGTAAGAATTTTAGGATGGATGTTTTCTATTTCTACAAAAACTGCTGGTGGGATTTTGATAGGGATTGCATTAAATCTGGAGATTACTTTGGTTAGTATTGACATCTTAACAATATTAAGTCTCCAATTCATGCACATGGGATGTTTTTCTGTTTATTTGTATCTTCTTAATTTCTCTCAGCAACAGTTTGTGATTTTCAGTGTACAAGTCTTTTGCCTCCTTGGTTAAGTTTACCAGATAGGATTGGTCTGAGATATACTAAACTAAAACACACACACACACACACACACACACACACACACACACACACCAAGAAACCCATCATAGCTAGAAAGCCTAGGTTGTGGCCAACAGTAGTATATGCCTTAGAGAAGAAGTTGCTTCTGAGGACAGAACGAAGACAGAGGACAGAAAGTATTCTGTGGTACCACCACCGACAAAAGCTGAGTGTGTGTGAGATGCTTGGTGAGGCTTGTGATCTGGCATGGTCAGGTGGGCTTC